TATGTATGTAATAAAATAATAATAATATATATATAATATATTGATAAATATAATATTTAATTGGCTAGAAATTCGGTGCAATCTGTATAAAATATTCATTGTCAAACAATCAATGTCAAAGGTGAAATTGCTTTAGATGTTTTAAATTCTCCATTAGTTACTAGATAAGAATTTCGCAACTTTTTGTCTTCTGCTCTCCCACAGAAATATTTTAACTCCTTTTTTCCTTTCAACCACTGTCGCACTGAAGATAATTTTGCATTATCATTAATCATAATTATTATTATCCTTCTCTCTCTTATCAAGCTTGGGTTGTCTTATTATGATTTTTATTAAACAAAACAAAATTGAAATCTTTCCAAGTTCCCTCTGAACCCTGCTTAAGTACCCACTGGGTACACATACCTCTGGTTAGGAATGACAGCACTTACACATTCACATACAAGTAAATAACACTCCTTGATTGCTCATGGTGTGTTTGCACTTCCTGCAGAAATCCTCAGCTCCGCTGATTCCCAATGAACACACCCCTGATGAAGCCAAACCCGGCATTGGTGCAGGCACCCAGAAGAGCACCAGCTCCCCTAAAGAAGAGAAACCGCCCTCGCCAACATCCCCCAATGCTGTCGCCCCTGCAGTCATCAAAGAGTCGTCCCACTAGTCTCCAGACTTCTCTCAACCCTCTGAATGTGCTCACAAAAAGGAACACACACAGAAAAACTTGATTCGTTTAGAGCAGTGGCCTATGTTCTCTGATACTCTTTCGCAGAACTGGACCCCCTCTGGCCGGATCCTGCACTAACACTCAAGACAAGTTCTGGAGGTTTTGAGACTCTCCTCTCTGAATCACAGCATGATGAATCTCACAATGAGGGAAATGGGCAGCTATAGACTGAATGAGATGAGAATGGGCTACCCTGAAGCGCAATGAGGACATTATTTCCCCCGAAAGAGCTCGTGAAATGTTCGGTTGATTTTTCAGTGTCATTACCTGTTTCTGTATAGCCCGCCTCCATTATTCCTAACCGTTTGTGTGTCCTGTAAAACCCATTACAAGCTTCTATAGTAGTTGTGTACAATGCCCTGTGGATTAGACGACTTGGTTTTCAAAGTGTGATAAGGAAAAGTGCTTTAGCCATAAGCTGACATTTAGGCCCAACACAACTGCTTTATTCTGATGATGGGGCCTTTTGGATCAGCTTAGTAAGTCAGTCAGTTATAAATGTGATTCAACTCGGTGTCAAAACAGAAAGTTAAGCTCAGACTTGATTTTACAATCAGCATTGATGGTAGAAAGCAGAGGCTGTAAGCTGTGTGTGTTGTCAATGAGTACAGGCTGATCTGCATCAGCAAGAGTGCCTTATCTATGCTCTACCATTACATCTATAGAGGACTCCATAATGCCCTAATGCTACTCACATCTCTATATGTAAGTTAATCTTTTTATTTATTTTTTTTACAATGCCATCGATCTATCAGAACGCAAAAAAGCCATGGAGTAAATGTACATAATGTAAAAATGACTTTAGATTCCCTAAGAAGTGGAAAACACTGATTTTATTAATATTATTTTGATCTTGAAGTTACTGCATTCCCTCCATATTGTCTTATTTAGTGAGGTCTTTCCACATCCACCTGACATATGAGCAACCTTCCCTTTTTTCCTTTCCGCTAAGAGTTGGATATTACTACTCAAGGCCTAAATGCTTGTTTGTGCACAGAGTAAATGAAAGATAAAGTGTGGTTTACATCTGAAAATGAACTTTCCCGAGTCTAGGCATGGAAAAGTCTAATCCTAATCTTTAAATTGTTTGTTTTTCTTTTTTCCACACATTCTTTTCACAATGTTTAAGGTAGCAAAGCTTGCCCCAGTTTATAAGCGAATGCATATTGTAGTCACCTTTACTAATTTCACTGTAGTATATTGATGGCCACTTGTAAGGGAACACTTTATAGACAGACCTACAGACATCAGGGACTCCTATATTTTTACATGAATTCGCATAGCCAGCTCCACATTTGTTTACTTCTCCGAAACATGGACAGTATTGCTGCGTGGAAAGTTTAGAAGTGAATTAAGAATTTTGTCTCATTCATTTGAAGCGGCCAGCTTTATATATATTTCTTTATGTTGCCAGTTCAGTGCCATCTTACAGCAGTTTGAAATATATAAGATGGAATGTTTGTGAGATTCATTTAGTTTGATTGTAAGTTCCTTTACTGATGTTGAAGAATGTGTTGAGGGTAAAAGTCCATTATTGCAGGAAATGTAGTCCTTTAAATACCAACGGAATGTGCTTCTATCAGATCATGTTTAATTTATAGCAAATGGGATTTTTGTGAGTACTATGGTGTGAACTATTGTGATGATTGATTATACTGTGAATGGAAGATGTGAATATTAATTTGCTAGGCTGATGGTATTACTGAGTATATGACAATGTGCTGAAAAATGAATCCCATTTTTTTAATCATGAAATTTGTGTCACTTATTTATTAAATTAGGCGCAACAAAATCAGAAAGTCAGTGTAATGTGTAAGTTTGGATTATTAGCAAAAGCTGGTCTGCTCTAGATATTTGGATATGATGCATAACGTACACATTATTCGTCATCACAGATTGAGTTATGTTCACTTTGCTTGGTAATAACACTGTGATCATGTATATATCCTCATACTCTTCACTTTATGAATTTGTGTGTATATGTATGTTCATTAAATTATATGGTATTATTACAATTTCTGTTATGTTTCAAAATTGCTTTTTTTTTCTTAAAACAAACAAAACTAGTAAAAAACAGTGAAAGTACAGACAACAATATAAACGACAAATGGAAGGCTGAAACGGAATACAAGTATAAAAACAACAATGGCTTTGAAAACTAAAACAATATTATAACAAATATTACCATAAACAGGAACCAAAATAGTTGACTATAGAAGCAAAAGAATAAAACTGAACAATGTGCTTTTCCTCTTTCATGCCTGACAAAAATATATTTTTGAGTGCACCAGTTGTGTAACTCTGTACATTCATTCCGACAGAAACAGTAGAATAGTAGTATATAAAATGCTACTTCATAGCTAAAGGTATGATGATGATGAAACTTCTCAGATATTAGAAAATCACAGTTAGGTCATACATACTTATCCTTGTGAGCAAAATCAATATTTGGGATTCCAGCATTCTTCTTCTTTTATGACGTAAAAACATATCTGTAGGTTTAATCCATGGAATATCACTTTATGCAGCCTGTTTTTCAAAATCCTACAACTTTGTTTCAGTTAGATTTTGAAGCCCAGGTCTTTCTGAACAATAATATCAGAGCGAATAGATGATGGTAGCTTCAAGATCTGTAAGCCATCTTCTAAGACGACTTATTGGCCTCTGTATGAGCTGTGCATATGAAATGTTTTTTCATAGAATTTAATCCATCTTGACAGAGTTTCAAAGAAGCAGGATCAAAAGAACATTCTGGTGGTTTCACTCTGTTTGGCTCTCAGGACTCTCCTCCACCTTCATCTCCTCCAGTTGTTCCTGAATCGCATTGAGCTTTGTTTCTGTGTCCGGATCAGTCTCTGGCTCCGGTTGGGATTCCAGCTGGGGCTCCTCACATCCGTTTGCCAGGTTCTCTGTGCTCTCGTAACAACCCGAGTCCCGTGGCATTTCAGTCTTTTGCTCCTCTACATCGGATTCATCCTCAGCTGGAGAGCAGGAGTGATGTTAGTACATTAAACAGACTGCAAATTATAAATATGTACCAATGAACACAATTAGGATAACAATCTAGACTCGATGGCTCTTTGATGGACTTACAGTCATGAAGCAATTCTGCTGCTTTCAGTATCTTCACACATTGCTCAGGGTCTGTAATGTTCAGTTCGTTCAGGTGGGACTCCTTCAGGCCGCTGAAATCCTCCAAACTCTGGAAGCCATGCATGGACAGGAGAGATCCCAGCTCCTGGACACACAATGAAGTCAGTCAGTGCAGATCCTATTGTACTGTGATGTAATGGCCCACATATTTAAAGGGTTAGTTCACCCAAAAATCAAAAATAGTCCATAAATTACTCACCCTCAAGTCATCCTAGGTGTATATGA